AAGAAATGATACTAAAGGGAATGACACATGGTCTGAAATGGGAAAACATTACGCCCTAAGGAAAAGAAATGATACTAAAGGGAATGACACATGGTTATTAATAGATGTACAAGTCAAACATATGATAAGCATCACTGTGTTATTCTGAAAACACTCTAGTTTCAAGTTAGCCTGGTTTCGTGTAGAATATTCACGGGTTCCAGATTTTAAACTGTTTATATTGTAGAAGTTGTGCATTCTCTTGACTTTATCATTGATATTTGCGAATGTCACTGACGTTGAAAAGAGGTTGAAATTGCTTACTATCAATGACGTGACTTTTTGGAGTTGACTGGGGGGCAAACAAGCGGTTGACTGGGGGGGCAACTAGCGGATGCYAAGTCAAAACATATCAAAATAAGTCCTCAAACTATTGTATTTGACTATTTTCACTACATCAAACCAGAAAACAAGAGATCAAAACAACCTTCAGGATTCTACAAGCCATCAAAAAAGAGCTATTACCGGGAGTGACGTCTATTGACAGCAACCTATATTCTGTATTATCATGTGACACAGTGGTATGATAACGATTGAAAAGTGCGGCATATTGTACTGCATCAAGTGGACAACATGGATTACACCAGGGATAAACACCATTGAATGAAATATGAAGTAGGTCCTTGACTTGATAATATGGTACATTAAAGCCATGCTTAAACTTTGTAAATAACCCACTTATCTTAAACTTATAAAAACCACATCAAAAGCAGCTTTATGGATACAACACATCAAAACTGCCCATCAAACATTGACAACACGTTAAAATACTGAATTTTATATTTTTCTTGCGTAATTCTATCAGATTTACATTAACGGATTAAATCCAATATCTTGATAGAAATGTTCGGTGTTAAGGAAATAATAAAAATAAAATAATAATAATAATAATAATGATAAACATTTTAAAATTCAACCATGTTGGGATATGCGCTTTCAACGACTGCCACTCCCATTTTATTTATTAAATTTTATTTATTTCACGTGCTAACCCAGMGCAACACAAACCAAACTCGCCTTAGAATGAAGAGAAACAACCCATTTCTAACGTTTGATAACGCAATATYTTTTGTACAAGTTAAAGGTGTCTTCATTTCTACAATTTTGACGTTAAATGCTTTCTTGCCTAACTTGCTTACAAATTCATTTACCAATAAACGACATTCGACAATTTTCGACCGAAAAGCCTTTACCTAACAACCAAGTTTTATGACATTCAAGTAGCGCCCGACCATATTTGGTTTCGACCAGCCAGTCGATGACGTCAATCTGACGTCAACACCTCTTTTGACCAATCACAGTGAATATTACAAACTTCATTCTCTCAGACCACCTCCTCAGGGTTTGGCCGTGTGGAGCCTGGTTGTTAGCTCATCATCATTTTTATTGACGTCAATAAAAGCAATTACGTTTGCGCGTTGATAAACTTTACCGTGATTATAATGACATATATTACCACTGCCAGAATCACTTTCACATTTTTTATTGACCAGAAAATGAAACAAAAAGGTTTTCGAATAATTCTAATAGTGGCAGTAAGATGACATCACATATAAATATTCTTCGTTTGCACGTTACGTCATCGCGGCCATGTTGGTACCATTTAACAAAAGATTACTCATTAGCATCCATTGTTAACGGTACCACAATGGCCGCCATGTTTTTGTCTTTTAAATTTCTTGGGAATGCTTGCAACCCATCAATACGAACATTCGTGGTTACTAAAACATCAATATTTAGAATAATATCACAAAAAATACTCGTCTGACAGTTAATACGTCTTGTGCATTTGGTATTTCTATGAAATAGCCTTATCTTTATCTAAGTTTTTCTCACCTTATCCTTCCTCGTCTAAATAAATGGAAAGGCTTAAAGATTGGCCTCAACCTGCCGGTATTCCTGGCCTTCCTATTCTCTCTGTTGCTCAGACGATAACATCCATTTATTTAGAGATTGGGCTCTCTGTGCGTCATGTAAACAAACTATAGACCTCTTGCACGTGACGTCAAATAAGCTCATAGTTCTCCTGAGAATTGGAAACCGATTGTTTTGTCCTCCAAATTGAGCTGTATTCCGACGTTCTGCAAGGGGTCTACTCGGTCTTCTATTTTGGCTTATTTAAAAATCTTAAAGACAGGTATGTACCGACTCTGAAAACTAATGCAAAGGCAAAGAGATAAAGTACGTTTTGCCACAAGGCTGACTCGACGCTGAGATGATCCAATACCTCTTGTCCTTGGATGTATGTACTGTTCTTCTGACATGACTTGTACACTGAGAGATCTTGACATCTGGTATTTTGGAAAAGATAGAAAGAATTAGTAGGTGACCTGTGGGAGAGCGCACTCTTTATAAATCCTAGTTAATAAGTTAATGGACAGAAAAAAGTTAGCCGTATAGTCCACAACAGACAACGTAACCATGCCTCTAGATTAGGTCATCAAAATGATAGATTACGTCATCAAAATGATAGATGACATCACCATTACTTTATCATAACCAAAGATTATGTCATTGCAACACCAGATCACACCTTGACTATAGTTTACAGCACCATGCTTCTATATTACCTCATCAAAATGCCTTGTCATTTTCGTACCTTGCTCATTCATGTTAATCACAAGCGTAATGTGACATAAACATAATGTAAACAACATTTAAACGTATCATAAACAAAACACAATTAGCTTACCTGAAGGGCTTTGATGTCGCAAACTCCACAATCATACAGGCTTCGAAGGAATAAGTTAGGTATGATACATACTCGAACCATTTCAACCAGGATGGAATATGTTGCTGGTAGAATCCACCCAACAACATGCACGTCAGACCAAAGATAGCTGCTACTGTTATGCAGTGTTTGAAATTCATGATGGTGGCACTAAGGAACAGACCAACTGACTGGATGTTGAAGAAATGGAAATTGATTTCAGTATCATCATCTGTATCATCATCACCCTCATCATTATCATCATTACCACCAACATCAGTATAATCATCATCATCATTATCATCTCAGTCATCGCCATCACCATCATCATCATCATCACCATCATCACTATCACTATCATCATCACCATCATTACTATCACTATCATCACCATCATCACTATCAGTATCATCACCATCACCATCACCATCACCATCACCATCACCCTCATCATCACCATCCCCACTATCAGTATCATCACCATCACCATCATCATCATCATCACCATCACCATCACCCTCATCATCACCATCACCACTATCAGTATCATCACCATTAAAAAAATCACTAAAAAGATGTACCATAAAATCTGCTTAAAGCACTTTACCTGAGCAGTCACGCTGGTCAGCAGTATAATGAAAACAAATTCAAGGAATGCTACGCTTTCATTCAACCCGCACATCCAGTAAGCAACAATGAGATATCCCAATGGCTGACAGATGACTAGTGGTAGCTCGCTGAAAAGTTTGGCGAAGTAGTAAGCTGAGAGTCTGTAGTAACCTGCAGACCGTTCCTTGTTGATGATGGTACGCTCTGATGGAACTGGAAACCAAAGTAAATTTATTAATTTATGAATTGTGGCTTGCTTGCTGAGGTCTATAGTTTGATCCTCAGTGACCTCACACACTTGTCTAAAGGAGCAAGTGTGGCTTGGTTGAATAGTGTACTGCAAGAGGTCTATAGTTTGATCCTCAGTGACCTCACACACTTGGCTAAAGGAGCAAGTGTGGCTTGGTTGAATGGTGTGCTGCAAGAGGTCTATAGTTTGATCCTCAGTGACCTCACACACTTGTCTAAAGGAAGCAAGTGTGGCTTGGTTGAATGGTGTGCTGCAAGAGGTCTATAGTTTGATCCTCAGTGACCTTACACACTTGTCTAAAGGAGCAAGTGTGGCTTGGTTGAATGGTGTGCTGCAAGAGGTCTATAGTTTGATCCTCAGTGACCTCACACACTTGTCTAAAGGAGCAAGTGTGGCTTGGTTGAATRGTGTRCTGCAAGAGGTCTATAGTTTTATCCTCAGTGACCTCACACACTTGTCTAAAGGAGCAAGTGTGGCTTGGTTGAATGGCGTGCTGCAAGAGGTCTATAGTTTKATCCTCAGTGACCTCACACACTTGTCTAAAGAAGCAAGTGTGGTTTTGTTAGCATTAAAACAATATATTTTGTTTAGTACTTACATGACACCAACGCTGCAAACATGGGACTGAAATTCCAGTAGACAACAATGAAGAAGATCTGGAAAAAAATTAAGTTATGAAAGTTAATACCAAAAGGACAAGGCTGCCATGTTGGTTGTTGCTATTCATCCAACATGACAGCTATGAAGAAGGCACACACCAAAAAAAAATTTATATCATCGGAAATCATTAAATGTATGTAATAGGAGAACTATTAAAGGCAAATACAATTATATTGTCTTAACAAATTACGTGGTACCAATGCATGTTAATGTTTGGTAAAAAGTTTTGCCATTCTCAGAGAAGCTTTGCCATAAGTTTTACATAGTAGCATTTTTGAACACGAAGTAATCTCTATCCTGCATTGCTAATTCTTCTGCTTACCATAGCATATCTGTCTCTTATCGTTTCTTCTGTGTAAGGAATACGAAACCAGATGACTCCTGTTATCACAGCAAGAGCAAAAGTCTAGGGGGAAATTTATATAAAAATAATAAACAGTGTTAAAATATGTAATCTAGGACTGTAGTCACAAACACCTAATTGGTCAGGTTCATTATGCACTAACGGGTCACCTGACCCTACTCCCCTTAAAACGAGCAGTTGTGTCTAAGTATTAAGCACCAGAAATTAAGATCATCCCGGTATTAGTAAGATGACCATTGAAAGACTTTCCCCAATCCCTTATTTATGGATCAGTTATTGTGTGGTCCCAGAATTGATCCTTGTGGAACACCCAAGAAAAATACTTGAATATCCCAGAATTTGACGTTTATATATTTTGTTGTACAAAAGCAACAAAAACAAAAGATTACCTACCTGAAAAAAATTAATTTTTGATAGGATTTCCGGCTTGGACTGTTTAAAGGTTCGTTCAGTAAGAACTGAAAACTGTGTCCAGAATGACGTAGCCCATGCAGTACTCACATCAGTGTAATTATCATCATCTTCATCATCATCATGTATATCAAGGTGAACATCATGCATGTCCTTTGGTTTTATGACAGATACTAACGGTATATCACCTCCTGTTGGGCTAGAGGTGAATTCTCTTGAGTTTAAACCATTTATACCATTGCAAGAATTAGATTTCATTTCATTATCTTTTGTATCTGGTGAATGGTTATCTGGTTCATTCTCACTGTCAGAACCTTCGTAGGAAAGATTCTCCTGTGACAAAATCTTTTCTTTTGCATCAAAGTAGTTATCACTTTGTTCGGATAAATCAGTATCTGAAACTGTTTCCCTTATCTTTAAACCTCCAGGATTTTCATCTCCAGAATCGTTTTTACTTGTTGGTTTTTCAAGCGAGTTAAAACTACTACAGCTTTGATCTTTCTTTTCCAAACTTTTTAAATAAGTATCTTTTTCGTTATTGGTTTTATTTTCTTTTAATTCATGGTGTCTTTCCGCTCTGTAAAAAAAAAAAATAAAAATAATTTAAAAGTACAGTAAAAGAGAGAACTTAAATGACAGGCGCAGATCTAGGGGAGAGGTGTAGGGGTGTGCAACCCCCCCCCCAGAAGAGCTGATATCTACTACATTATTGGTGCTTAATTGTCCAATGAGTTTGTGAACATCCTGATCATAAAATGGTAAGCAAATACTGGTACTCAGATCAGTAGAGTGTTCAGCAATTTCTGGTCTTCAGTTTGAATGTCTTACCTTTCTCTCCATGACTGTATAATGAAATCTTGTACTTCCTTGCCTGCCGTCACCTTTTCCACTATTAGTAAAAAAAATAGTTACAAAGTATTCATTTCCATCCATTCTCTTCACAACTTTTATCTCTTCCTTTCATTATTTCTTTCTCTGTTTGTCCATTTGTTTCGTTACTTGGATTGTATCTTTTATTTCACCCTTTTGTATTCCTCTCTTTCTCATTTATTCCTTTTTTACTCTTTTCTACTCATTTCCATTTATTTTGAATAGTGACAAGCTACTTACGTATGTAATCTGCTGGATTGAAATGAGTCTCACACACATGCCCAATACTGCTGAAAAAATCCAGAACCCTTGACGCTTTACCATAGAAAGCAATCTGAAGAGAAGAATGCATGATGTCCATTATTTAGTTTTTAAAATTATTTACAAAATCTAGAACTTTATACCAGTTTGTACATGTCTAGACCATGGATAGCTGATACTGAACCAACAATCTCCCTTAAAACAGCAATGCAATTCAAAAGACCCTTTGCCCCTCGATCCATGTGCCTYATATTACTCTCATGTACAAACATTGGAATTTAAATAGGAAAACATTATGCCCTGCAAGCTAAAAAGGACTATATTAGTCAAGCTAGAGAGAAAATTAGCAGGGAAATAGGTCACTTCTTTGTTTTCATGAGAAGAAAGAAGTTCCACGCACACATATGTGCTCATCCACTTACCCCCCACCCCCCACAGTACATTTACCTGTCCTTCACATAGCAACAGCAGTTTGTCGAACATATGGAATATCTGACTGGAAGGCTGATGGATACTTGTTAGTATGGTTTTCTTCTCTTTTGCTGCATATTCCTTTAAAGTGTTGATCAGGTTGAGTGCATTGCTGGAATCCAGACCAGATGTTGGTTCCTGTTCAATAGAAACAAGATTAGATGGATTGTAGCGGGAAAGAGGTGTGGAGGGGGGAAGAGGTGTGGAGGGGGGAAGAGGTGTGGAGAGGATGGTAGGAGAGAACAACGTATGTTGAACAAGGGTAATTCCAGGAGGGGATTGCATAGGAGTAAACTAAAAATAAGAAAGGTGGCTTTCTAGGTAACAGCCACCCTGGGAATTATCCTGGATCAGTCAAATGTGGAAAGGTTTCTTTTTTTACTGATACTTACATCAAGGAAAAGAATCGATGGATTGATAATCAGTTCACAGCCAATGTTCGCACGCTTTTTTTCACCTGCAGAAAAGATTTCAATAATTATTATACATTGTTTTTTAGACAATATTTTGCACATCACTAACTTAATTAGCAACAGGGTCAGCATGTTTGTTTTCAGTTTGTTTTTTTGACTTTGATAAATTATTATAATTTACTGTACATTGACTACCGTATAAACAAATATTATTGATGTATGATGTTTATAATATTACCTCCAGAAAGACCTCTCTCTAGTGGACTTCCGATACCTTATAGCAAAAAAAAGCAATATTAAAGATTAAAGTTATTAGTTAACATAAGTAAAATAATCAGTAAAAAATTGTGCATAACATATAATCTGATTGTATACATAGCATGCTCAATTATATGTTGGTTTTTTGGATGGTGAAAACCTTGATAAAATGCATTTAAATCAAAGGAGAGACAAAACAAACTCTAACTGCAATGGAATCTTGGGTTCTAGAGGTATTAAGGCAAGTGCAATAGTGCTGCGCCACTCTTGAAATCCTTAAACTTATTTACTTTTGTAACTCCTGTCTCAGGTGTCTTTAGTCCAAACCCTCCCAGTCCATCAACATCTACCCCCCTCCCCCCCCC